TCTAAGCATATTACCACCCCTAAAGGCCTGGAGGGAGATCGTCTGTTTCTTACTCGTGTGGCGTCAACCATTTAAAAAAGATTTGCATTTTTAAAAAAATGTTTAACAATTGATTGTCCAGCCCTAATTATTACAAAAGTATTTACTGTAGTCTCTAGATCAGGTACAGTTCTTATAAAACGTGTAGCAAAAATAGCAATTATAGAATGAGATTATTTGGAGAAATTGTCCATCTTAAACAAAGTCTACATCCTTTGTGTTTCTGTCTGCAGAGCAGTACTACGTGGGACTGGTGGTCAGCAGGAGAGAGAATGAAACATTGCAGAACAAAGTTTATGCTTTTTATAAAGAGAAGAACAAAGACCAAGGACTGAGCAAAGACATGTGGCTCCCCTTTGTGAGCCAAGTTTGTACGGTAAGATCTTCAGAATGAGATGATGCTTCTGTTCAGTACACTGCTCACAATAATCCTAATCTGGATTGATTAAGCATCTGGTGTTTTATTCCAGGCGGATGAAGGGGGTCCAAAGAACAACCTCCGGTTTAAGTGGACGTCACTGATGAATGCAAGGCTGTATTGTGGAAACCCAGACAGCAAACAGCATTTCTCTGAGCTGGTAGATGTAGCTATTGTGGACGCGCCACGGTGGCAGGATACCAGAGTTTATGGGCTCTTCAGAAATGAATGGTAAGACCTCAGTCTGCATTAAAAGCAGTGGGATATAAATTGTAAGTCTTATGCTTTTATCGATCCATTGATCTATTATGTACAGTAAGATTTTAAGTGAAGTCTATTTAAATTAATGCTTAGACATGAGTGGCTTTTTAAAACTTAAGTTTTATTTTTCAAGGTACCGTGACAAAAACCAGCAGTATAACCATAATGACTTGCCATATCTGCCTTATAATGAAATGGCATACTGTATATCATACTCAGCCAAACAAAACACAACCTTTTAATTGTTTTTTAAACTGAATTTAAAATAGTTAAATTACCGCTGCACTGAAGAAAGAGGACATCAGCTCACCTGCTTCCTGTTTTGTAAAGCTGTCAACATGCTGTTTGCTAAAACTTGTGACATTTGTGCAAAGTTGATATCTCAACCACTGCAGTCTTTTGTAACCTTTGTCTTTTTTCACAGCTGTGTGCCCCTCTAACTGTCTGTTTTTTGCAGGGGCATGAGTGCTGTGTGCATCTACACCATAGAAGACATTAACAACATTTTCATCACGTCCCCTTTTAAAGGTTCAAAAGAGGATGATGCTGTGGACAAAAAGAGAAAACAGGTATTCAAGAAAAAGTGACCTGTTTTAAGACATCTATTGTGCAGCTGCATCTCAGGAATTTGAAATAACATGAAAAAATGTATTTTGTTAAACTTAATTTTGTACAATGTAATATGATTCAAGTGCCTAACTGTACTTTTTTTTAGAAAAAAGAAAAGTGNCGTTACTTTCAACGCCGTTGGTCCCATCACTGTGTGCGACTGAAAGCTTCCTTGGGGCAAATTTTTATTTTTTTTATTTTTTTTCTAACAATGATCTAAAACAGTGTTTTTCAAGCCTGGTCCCCAAGGCTTACTGCTCTGCATGTTTTAGATGTTTCCCAGCTTTCACACACCTGTTATTAATTGATAGCAGATTATCAGGCTTTGCTGAACTGCAACCATCTGAATCAGGTTTGCTGAACCTCAGAAACATCCAAAACATCAGAGCAGGGTGCCTTGAGGACCAGGGTTCAAAAACACTGATCTAAAAAATATGTTGCTGCACTTTTAGCTTCAGTTGGTTCCCCCATGAAAAACACTGGCCCCAGCCTGGCCCCAGCCTGGCCCCAGCCTGGCCCTCCAGATAAAACTTTGTATAAAAAACATTAATGCATTTCAATACCAAAACAACTTAAAGAATGTTAAAGTAGTCTTAGATAAAAAAAAACAACAACCTATTCCTACCATTAAAAATCAAATTTAGCAGTTTACAGTTTAATGTCGTTTAACCCTTTTCATCCCGGTTAGATGATTTAGAACTAGCTCTCATTTACCAGGTCAGCCTCATTAGAAAATTAACCAGATATTTTATGACCCTTCCAAGACATTGCTGTGTTCAATTTGACTCATCTACAACCCCTTTAGAAACGTTTAACACTTTTACCACCCAGTCTGTTGGCTTAAAACAATAACTCAATGTGGATCCCCTTTAAACTCCAAAGAGATATTCTAATATGTTTAAGCTGTCTAGTTGATTCCCAAGAGGTGTTATCCAGAAAATACTTAATGATAATAGCAAATAAGCAATATATTAGTGGCAGATTTCTTCAGGTGTGCTGCAAAGCAAAATATGTTTCTCCAGGATCTGTGTGCTAGCTGCAAATCTCCCTTCCCCTCACAAAGGCAATTGATTGTCCAGCCCTAATTATTACAAAAGTATTTAGTCTCTAGATCAGGTATAGTTCTTATAAAACGTGTAGCAAAAATAGCAATTATAGAATGAGATTATTTGGAGAAATTGTCCATCT